CCTATATTATTAATAATTTACACTAAATATAGGATATTTTGTCCCTTTCGCAAAAATGTGAGATTTTAGCAAAGTAGGTACACCAAAAATCATTTATGATGTTCAAATTAGTGTGAGCCAATTTGTTACTAACATACCATAACGCTTTAAATAGTGTGAGACAATTTGTTATTAGTCTAGATTTGCCAAAAGTAATTTATAATGTTCAAATTAGTGTGAGACAATTTGTTACTAATATAGATATATCAAAGAGAATTCATGACATTCCGAGTAGTGTGAGACAATTTGTTACTAGCCTAGACGCACCAAAAGTGATTCAAAATACTCAAGTTAGTGTGAAACAATTTGTCGCTAACAACAAGCCAGGATTAATAAGCGCAGGTGTATCAGCGGCTATTAATAACTTATTTAAGATAGTAGGTTTTGGCCCATTTAGTATTTTTGTAGCTCTTGGAGTTGGTGCATTAAAAATTAATAGTGGATCAGGCGCAAGTCCAGAGGATTTCTCATTACACATTATCACTTACTTATTAAGTTCACCTATCTATCTTGTGTTTCCAGAAATATTTCTCTTAAATTTTATTTTGGGATTTGGAGTTAATACGATTACATATAGTGTATTAAGTAACACATATCGTAAAGTTTATGGAATTGATGAAAAAATTCATATACAGTAATCTAAATGCTGAACATTAATATTTAGATTTTTTATTTTTTATCACTCATTTATTATTTTTATTATTGTTATTTTTGTCCTTGGTTATTTTGTCATTTTTTTGTTATTTTTGTCCTTTGTCGTTGTTTTTTGTTATCTTTATCATGGGCAAAGTTGCCAATAAACCCTTTAAATTTAATAAATACTGCTATATGAGACATGCTATAAATACTATTTATTTCCCGAGACGGCTGGAATAATGAAATATTTCCCTAGCGGCATATTTGGAGTATCATAGTTCAAACAAATCTTGCTGATTTAATATATTTTAAATAAGTATATTATAAAATCTTCGTTAATATCAAATCGAGACACATTATTAATAAACCACTTTTCATATTTTTTATATTTTCTTATATCTTTTCTTGTTCGTAGATTAAAAAGCAATGTATGGGGTCTTTGCCTTATAAAAAGACTTTCATGGCTGTTTAAATCGATTTAACTTACATTTTTTATACAGTTTAAAGTACTTTTTTTTTTTAAAAAACATAAAACTACAAAGAATAAATAAAAAAAGAAAAAGGTATATAAAGTATATAGAAAGTTTTATTAGAGTTGTAGAACTCCGTTATTAAAAATAATCAAAATCCCTTTGATGTTAGAGAAGGTAGCATGATAATAACCTGTTCTTTAGAAGTCGTTATTATGCTAACTTCTCTAAAATAAAAAGGGATTTTGATTACTTTCAATAGTAGAGTCCTACGACCATAATAAAATTTACTATATAT